ATTTTCAGGCCCGATGTTTTTTCTATATCATCCTTTTCCTTTGTTGTTACATTTTTAAGAAGCAATTTTGTTTTTGTTATATTCAGCTTAAAGCCTGCCACTTCTCCAAAATGTTATCAGTTCCAGCATTATTTTCAAACTTTCTTTAGGGTTTTCAGTCATAACAAGTAGATCGTCAGTGGGAGGGGTCCAGATTGAGGATCTTGAAGAAGTGTAAGAGTGTGTGTGTGTGTGTGTGTGTGTGTGTGTGTGTTTTCTAGGCTAAGGAGGATTTGGGATGAGCCGCAAGGAGCCATAAGGCCCCTTCTTCTCCTGTCCACAGAAACCTGGTTGTGGCTGTCAAACAGGATGATTCACTGGCTTCTTGGTTCATGACTCTGCTTCTAAAAAGCTCTGCTATTGCCTGCAGAAGATGGTGCTGATGAGGGCCAGCCAGGGAGCAGCTCCTCCATCTGTTACCAGAGAAACTCCTCAGGCCACAAAACCATCACAGAGAGAGAGAGAGAGAGAGAGAGAGAGAGAGAGAGAGAGAGAGCGCACTGGGGGCCACTTGTCTCCTGCCTCCTGCAGCAAGGCAGCCAAAGGGACAAATCAGGACAAATAGGAAAAAGCAGTACTAGGGAGTGAGGAGAAATTATATTTAGTTCACATTTAAAGGAGGATCAATCAAATTTGCACTTTCCAAAACAATAGGAGAAAGGAAAAACAACCTCCTTATTTATTTTTAATAGCTACAGGCTTGGTGGATCAGGGGAATGCTTTGGACGAAGTTTATCTTGATTTCAATAAGACTTTCAACAAAGTCCCGTATGATATTCCTGTGGTTAAGCTGGTAAAATGTGGGCTACATCCTTTGTGGATTTGTAGCTGGTTGACTGAACCCAGAGATTCTTTGTCTCAGCATCCATTGGTTTGGAGAAGTCCCCTTGGAGCTTTTCACAACAGTCTGGTTCCATCCCAGTCCAACCCTAACCCTTTTGTACAGGCCCAACCTGCCTAGTCCAAACCCCTCTTCCTGACACCATCATCTCATCCCTGCATTGAGACCCCCAAGCTGTGCCTGTCCTTCTGGCCTGCACATGGAGCAGGTAGCATTTCAGAGAATGCTACCTTGGAGGTCTTGGCTTTCAGCATCCTATGTTGGGCTTCCAGGACCTCATGTCTTTGGTGCCAGCAGGCCACCAACTCCTCCCCAGCCCGATCTCCTAGGCTACCTATGCAAGAGACAAGGGCTGCTGAAGACATCCAGCTGGATCCGTTCCTGTTGCGATGTTCTTTCAGGCCAGGCCGTGATAATCCCACAGCCCCTCTGCCACCAAGCCAAATGCCAGACTGGCAGGGCCTTTCATCAGGGAAGCAAGGACTCTCCTCATCTCCCCTCACCCTCCCCTTGGCCACAGTGCTGGGTCAGCCCCCAAGGGGGCAGTCAGCCACTCTGGCAGAGGCCCAGGAGCCCAGCCCTCCCCCTCCTCTCCAGCTGTCCTCTGACCATCTGACATGGGGTCTCATCCAGGTAGTGATGATTACTCAGAAGGCCAAACTCAGTACAGGAACTAGCTCTCTGCATGCCTTGACACTTGGGAGTGGGTGTCTGGCTCCTTGTCTCTGGCTGTGCCCCCACCCCACAGCCCCTTGCCCTTCAGGCAGAGGGCTTGGAGGAGCCAAGGACACCCAGCACAAAATCAGGTGCAGAAAAGAATCGGGACTCCCTCCCACGGGGTTCCTTCTCCAGGTACCCCTCAAGCCTCTTGTGCAGCAAACCAGCAAGGCCAGGTGGGGAGGGGTCTTTGCTCTATGGAAGTGATCCTCTTGTGATCCACCAGCCAAGATGCCCCACAGCCACACTGCCCAGAGCCAAGGGCCCACCGGGGCCTCATTCAGGCAGCAGAGCTGGGGCTGAGCACCGTCACACTGAGGGCCCATCAGTGGAAGGTGTGGGATGGGTGATTGATGGTTAGGAGGGGATATATTAATTACAATTTATCCCTCCAGTCTCCCATGTATGGCAGCAAAACATAGATGCTTGAAACTAGGCTGCCAAGCCTTGTATTTTCTGAGCAATCCCAGCTAATGAAGGTTAGCTGGCTTCCCCCTCCTAACAAAGAACCAGGCAACAATTTATAAAGTTAGCTTAAAAATTATGTTTACTTACTTAACAGTCTTGCGTTGGATCACAGTAAAACTATGCACGTAAAACACTTCTAGGCTACAAAATACATTGTTGATTACAAACCTGGAGTCTGTGCTCAGGGAGGACACCAACAGACATCTGTCTGCCTCGAAGACACGGGGAACCAGAGAAGTGTGAGAGTGACCGGAAGCGGAAGGGCTCTCTTGTTTCTTCCCGCTGCTGCAAACAAGGGAGATGGCATTGCACTGAGCTCCCTCCCCAGCAACCACATTCCTGTGGCTTGAGTCTGTCTCGCAAGGCGGCTCTGTGATCCTTTGCCCCTCAACTTACTGTCGATAATATGCGTTTGTCTCCCACAGAAGGAACCCCCATTGCCTGCTGGGATGGGGGGTCCCAGTACTGCCTCCACAGCCGCTTTCTCTTGGGCTGGCAGCTAATTCACCCCACAGTGCCTGGGCTTTATACCCCCTTAGAAGAGTTTCCATAACGCCAGGCTCAGCCCCTGACAAGACCCCCTTTCTGGCCTCCCACATTGTCAGCCTCCCTCTGTAAGCTGCCCAGGCAGACCTTTGTGCACTGTCTTCCTGGCCCTTCTGCTCCTCTTGCCTCAGCACTGTGCCCCCCCTTTCTGTGGGGCATTTGTCAGTCCTGGCACCTGTTTGCTCCCCTCCTCTTACAGGGAATGGGTTGGGTGGCAGGAGGCTGGCATTACACACAACCTCAGCACCTGGCGAGGAAGAGCTGAGCACCAAGGCCCAGCAGCCTTTGCAGCTCACAGGATGTGTTGGCACAGGCAGGGTTTTGAGTGTAGGGGGCAGCTGCTGCTGCTGCTGCTGCTGCTGCTGCTTCCAGGGTCCAGTCTTGCATCATCCGGCTCCTGTCCTGGCCACCCCATTGGGCCACCTGCAAGAGGTCTCTCAGGATTGCTGCTGATCCTAAGGATGAGCCGCCTTCCAGCCTCATGGTGCTTCTGGCTCTACTGCTTGGTGCCAGTCCTGTCCCATTGCGTGGCTTCTGGTGCTCAGCTAGGACTGTGCTGTTGTGACACAGAAGTAATGGCAAAGCATGATTCATCTGTAGAAAACCCACAAATACAGGAGGCGGCTAGCAGGAGCTACTAGCCACAATGGCAATGTTCTGCCACCATGGTCAGAGGCAGTAATGCTTCTGAATGCCAGTTACTCAGGGTGGGGAGAGGGCTACTCTTGTACGCAGGCCCTGCTTGTGGGCTCCCACAGGCAACTGGCTGGCTGCTGTGAGAACAGGAGGCTGGACTGGATGGGCCTTTGACCTGGTCTAGCAGGTTCTTTCCCCCCAAATTCCCAACCCTCACGGTACCTGGCACTTGGGAAGATGTTTTCACCCTTAGATAATAGGACTAGGAGACCTGGGAGGAAGCAACACTGATGTTTTGGATGCACACACATCCTAATGAAAATGAGGGCTAATTTGGAGCAGCAGAACCTCAGAAGCAAGATGATTTGGAGAGGTGGTGGTGACACAGACTGGAAATCTCTAGCTTAGAGAAAGATCCCGAGGGATGCACATCCCTGCCCAGTGCCTCGTGACCAAGTTGGGGGATGAGGAGCAAAGCAAGAGGCTTCGTGTCCGGGCGGGGCTGGGGTAAGTGTGCTGCAGATCCAACCGGAGCAGGAGGACTTGCCTCACCTGGTGCGAGGAGCGCCTTTGCATCTCGACTCCTGCACAGCGCAAGCCCAGGAAGGCCCGGCTGAAGCCCCGCCAAGAGGCCCACCTGCTCCTGTCTGCTAGGGGCCGGCCAGTGTCTGCTGCTGGAGGTCACCGCTGCTCAGAAGAGAAGACACGGAGTGGGGCAGGAATGGGGAGATTTCAAGAGGCAGCGGCCATTCCAGGCCCGCTGGGCGCTTGCGGAGCCTCCTGCCTTGGAGACTGCGAGGCTCCGGCCACAGGGAGGCTTGCGGTTGACTTGGGACTCCAGCGCAGCCCAAGCAAAAGCCCCACAGCTTCGGACCCTCGCCCGCCCTATAGCCCTCCAGCATCTGCCTGACTCTGGGGAGCGCTGCGCAAAGGGAACACCCTCTGTTCCCAGAGCAAGTCTGTGAGAGAGAAAGCCCAAAATAGTCCCTGAAAGGGAGGAAATATGTGGCGCCGCTTCCCAAATTGGGAGCGTCCTCCAGCTCCCCTTGTCCCGCGGCCTGCTGGGAGACTCCGGGGTGGGGGAAGCGGCTGGCCGGGCGGCAGCTGTCTTTGGCCTGGCGACCCCCGCCTCGCCTGCCCAAGCGGAAGGGGGGCCACTCGGGGCCTGCCTTCGCCTGGGGGGCCTCCTGGCCATGGGGCGACCCTGCAGAAGGGTCGAAGGCCCTGCCCGGTGCCTCAGTGGCCCTGGCGGGGCGCGGGCGGGCTAGGCGGGCAGCCTCCGGGATGGGGCGGTTACTATAGCAACATATCCAAGGCTAGAGGGATGGATAGCTGGACGGAGCGAGCTGAAAGGGGTATCGGGGAGGTTCCTGCTCGAGGGAGGGGGAGAGGTGCCGGGGCGCGTGCCGTCAGGCTGGCTGGCTAGCGGCGATGGGCTGGGGGCGTCCCGTCTCCGCGCCTGCCTGCCTGCCTGCTTGGCCGGCTGCCCGCGTCCCCGCCTTCCGCTCCCCGCTCCCGCCCGTCGAGGCTCGTCGGCCGGTCCCGTCCCTGCCAGCTTGTCCCTAAAAGGTGCTGCTCGGCCTGTGGGGGAGGGCCCGGCCCCTCCCCGGCTTTTAGGCAGTGCGAGCCGCTCGGGGCGCGCAGCCAGTATCCACCGCTCGCGGCTCCGCTCGCCTTCCCTTCTCGCTCTCGCCCGCTCGAGCGCCTCCGACCGTCCTTCCCGTCGGGTCCCGACGCCTCTCCAGCCGCAGCCATGGAAGCCATCAAGAAGAAGATGCAGATGCTCAAGCTCGACAAGGAGAACGCCATCGACCGAGCGGAGCAAGCGGAGGCCGACAAGAAGCAGGCCGAGGACCGCTGCAAACAGGTGCCCGCCCGCCCAGCCCCACACAGGCCTCTTGGCGCCCACTCCCCAGAAGGGCAGACCCCCAGGAGGAACCACACCTCACTAGCCCCCTCCATCCCCGACAGTTGGTCTGGGTGGACACTTTGCCAGGCAAGACCCCCACCCACTAGCTGTGAATCCGCTTCCAGCTGCCCGGACTAAGTCAGGCAGATGCCCTCCCAACTCCCACCGCTGGGCTCCCATCTCTGGAGGCTCCCCACCCCAGATAATCCTGAGTGCAGGAATGCCCTCCTGCCCCCCCCCCCCGCTCCTTCCTTACCCCGGGCACCCCCTTTCCCGCCGGGTAGGAGCGAGCAGCAGCGCATCGGCCTCCCGCTGACGCTCCCCTCTCTCTCTCCCCGACCCCCCGCAGCTGGAGGAGGAGCAGCAGGGGCTGCAGAAGAAGCTGAAGGGGACGGAGGATGAAGTGGACAAGTACTCGGAGGCCGTCAAGGAGGCCCAGGAGAAGCTGGAGCTGGCCGAGAAGAAGGCCGGCGACGTAAGTCCGGCTCGCGGGGCGGAGGGGCGGTAAGGGAAGGCGCAGGCAGGCATGCCCTCGGAGGGCCAATCCTGCCCGGGCCAGGGTGGGTGGCGCCGAGGAGCAAGGGCATAGGGAACTGGGCCCCTCCAGGTATTCCGGGCTCGTTAAGCCCCGAGCAGCTGCCCGCCAGTGGGGCCTCCCGCCTCCCTCCCTCCCCGAGGATGAATTGAGCCGTCACTGGGCCATTAAGACGGGGCGGGCGGGCAGGGGAGGCTCCGGGCGCGGGCCTTGGCACCCGCGCCGCCCATCAAGTTGTCAAGGCATTCCTGGGCGCTCGTTAGCTGAGGGTCTCCCCGGGGCCAGGAAGGGGCTCTTGGCGCGGGAGGTGGTGACACGGCGTGCTCCTCCGGCCAGGCCGAGCTCCAGGGAGCGACAGCTGCGAGGGCTTTAAAGAGGAGCCCGCTCGGGGGACCCGCCACTGGCTCGGCCTCCTTCGAGGGCATTTGACACCCTATAAATAAATGCTCCTTGCCCGAGCCAGGCTCGAGGCCCGGGTGAAAGGCGATCAGGGGGTCTTAAGGAGCGCCTAAAAGGGACCCGCCGCCTGGAGCGCCGCCAGCCCGGACCCGCCGCCAACAGCGGGAGAGGAGGCGGCGCAACCTGCGCGGCTGGAGCGAAGCGGGGAGCGCGGGGCGGGGTCTCTAGTGCTCGGACCGGGCTTCTCCCGGCGGTCTACTGGCTGCTTGCTCGGCTTGGTCCGCGCACAGCTCGGGCATTGTGCCAGCACCTGCCCGGTGTTTCCGGAAAAGCCCCTTCTTGGCCGGGACTGAGCGGTGCCCACACGCGCAGCCTGCCTGGCGGTTGTCTTTGCGCCCATCATGCCGGGCCAGTCCAGGAGCAGAGGCCTGGCTGCTCCTCGAGTGCCAGTGGGCACTGCCAGCAGATATGACCCCTCCAGGCAGAGCCCGTCTGCAGACTCCTCCTCGCGGAGGGCTCGAGCCAGACAGATGCAAGGCGAGGCGGTGCTAATAGGGGTGCTAATAGGCTCCCGCCTGCTCCTTCCTCTAGAGGCTTAACCCAGAGGCGGGAGGCTGGCGACGCAGCCTGGTCCAGAGCCTTGCTACTCTTAGCCCCGGGAGGCCTTGGGGGGGGGGACATGGTCTACCTGTTACCCGCCCCCCCCAGGCCACAGCCCATGGCTGGATGATGCCCCTTAGTTCCCGCAGGTTGGCACGAGGGCCGCTCTCCTAGCTGGGCGCAGATGAGCCTCGAAGCCAGTCCCTTGGGCGCAGGATCGGGAGGCTGCGGGTGACTCCTCCAAGGGGCACCCCGCCTCCACCAGGGATCCTCCTTGGCCGCGATTCCTGCATTGCAGGGGGATGGACTAGATGGCCCTTTGGGTGCCTTCCAACTTCTCAATCCTTTGAATCTACGATTCCTCATGGCTGCTGGGCTGCCCAGCCTCTGCGCTCGGTCTTGCGCAGCTGGCTCAGCATCCCGCCCGTCCCAGCCTCCGCCGCCTTTGCTCATATTTGGCCATTCCCCGAGCCCAGAGGAGGAGACTGGCTAGAGGGCAGGGGGAGGAGGGCTGACTGGCGCAGAGCAACTGCCGGGATGTAGGAGCACAGCCGCGCTGGCTCTGCCCCACTCGGAGGCAGGTCCCCCTTTTCCTCTCGCGGCCCGTCCAGAACAAGGCAGGTGCAGGTTTTCTCCCCAGTGCAGCTGGGCTCTGGCAGGCAGGCCGGGGCTGCCCCATGTTTCATATGTTCTGCCAATGGAGGACATTTTTCGCAACCCTATGTGGGAAATAAATGCCTCCCCCCAATCCCGGAAGCGTGTGTGGCTTCTTATGAGTCCTTATGTAAAGGTGACTTTGCCTTGAGAAGTCCCCCCTCCCCCCATTTCCTGCGCTTGTACTTGGAAGGGAACACCGGACTGCTTTGCAATGGCTCCAGGCCCCTTTGGGGGCACCAAGACCAAGGCAGAAATTCTAGCTTGGAAACAGGCTAGCTGGCCTGGCAGCATTCCTCAGCCTCGCCTTTCAGGTCCCCCCATTTCCAGGAGTCCAGCACACACATGCTGACTGATGCCACTTCAAAGGGCTGGTCATGGGGGGGGGGACAGAGCCCAGGTGGTCATCTGGCCTCCCCCAGGCCAGCCGCTGGGGAAGCCGCCACTGGATGCAGGGGGAGGCCAGGCTGAGCAAGAGGGGAGGCAGGCCAGGCCCTGGGGAAGGAGAAAGCAGGGGGCGGGCACCACAGGTGGCTGCTCAGGGGCCTGAGTGGGCTGGAGGAGACAAGGCAAGTGCCTGAGAGGTGGAGGTCCTTGAATGGAAGCATGTAGGTGCGCATGTGTAGGAAATGATGGGAATGGGGACAAACCATGGGGTGTTCTTTCCTCCTGAGTGGAAAGAGAGGAACTGAAGCCTGAGAATGTACCAGGGTGACAGCACAGTGCAGACGTGATCAGAGGAGGCAAAAGGGGAGGTGGCCCCAAATTCCCTGGTCCAGGGGCCTCAACTTGCCCCATTCAGAAGGGACTATGATCATAAATGTCACAGGCCAGTTGCATCTTTCCCTGGCCCTGTGTGACAGATACTTTTGGCCTCACAGCCTCCCCAGGAGGAAACTTGGCAAGCGTGGTTGCGTGGGGAGGGACATCCTAGACCTAGAGGGACAGGAAGAAACCCTGACCTCTGAGTTCCGGCCTCAGAGCGGGTGGTGGTGCCTAGCCAAAGAAGAGCCACGCGGTGTCCCTGGGAGAGGATGTGGACCTGAGGGTGTTTCTAAGTGTCAGCAAAGGCTGGGCTTCAGGTTTGCTCTCCTGAGAGCAGGATTGGCTCAGCCCACCCTTGGACCCCAAGACTCTTCCCAACATGCATTTCTGCCTTAGGGGACTGGTGTTTCCCTTTGTGCACCAGGAGGCTGCCATGTCACACAATGGCTATAGCACAGGCACAGCCTGAAGGGAGTTGCTTCTGGCACCCTCACAGCTGAAGGCAGGAGAGGGGCTCCCTAGAGGCTGGCCTGGGGGGGGGCGGGGCAAGTGCTCCTGAAACTCTGCCAAGCACCAGCCCTGGACTAGGGAGTCTTTCAGGTGCAAGCCTCCTTGGTCCTCCGGAACAGAAAGTAAGCCAGTGGCCACAGATGGCTACTGGCACCCTAGAGCCCTGCAATGAAGGAATCTCAACATAATTAATTCAATTCAATTAAAACATTAGACATTCAAGAACTATCAGACTCTGGGAACTGTGCAAGGAAACAGTAAAAGAAGGTAAAACCTGAAAACCCAACACTATTCAAGCAGCTTTGATGACACAAAGCAGAGACAGACAGGACACAGCTGAGTGGTGGAGCACCTGCCTTGCATGCAGAGGTCCCATGTTCAACTCCAATGGCAGCAACTCCAGGCAGGGCTGGGAGACATTCTGTTTCTGAAATCTGGAACAGCCGCTGCCTGCCTGTGCAGACACTACTGACCTAGATGGCCCCAGTGGTCTGACTCAGCAGAAGGCAGAGAGAAGGAATTGTGCTCCAATGCAGCAAGCAGCAACCTAGTATTTCAAGAGACCAGGAAGTAGAAACACATGGGAAATGTATGAGCACATCCAGCTTGCCACAGAGTGTTGTGACACCCCCTCCCCAGCACACACGCACTCACACGCTGGGACTTGCTTTGGAGGGGCCCTATCATGCCAAAAGGTGGCAGGTGCTTAGCTACCAGCCACAATGGCTGTGCTCTCCCTTCACTGCCAGCTGTTTCACCCAAGAAGGGGCTGGAAGGGGTCTCGGTGGCCATCTAGTCCAGCCCCCTGCTCAGTGGAGGAAACCCAGAGCTACAGCCCCTGCCTCAAAAAGAAAACAGATGGATGTCTGGGTCCTGCTTGAAGACGACTACGTGGGACGGAGAGGCTCACCCTCCAGCGAGCAGGAAGTGCTCCCACCACCCTCAAACTGCTCCTACCATCAATAAAGAGGCCTTCCTGTAATGTAAGCCAGGTGGATCTCATCCTGCCACCTGGGACAGCAGCAGAAAAGAACTCCCTGCCTTTTTCTGTCTAATGACAGCCCTTCAGCAAAGACGGTGAGGAAGAGGAAGAAGGCTCTCAGGTCTCCTCTTCTCCAGGGAAAGCAGACTCGGCTCCTCCAACCTGGCCTCGCAGGACTAGTTTTCCAGACTCCTTGAGCATCTTTCTCACCTTCCTCTGAAACCATTCCAGTTTATCTATGGCAAAGCGGAGGAGCCCAGAACTGGGCAAAGGACTTCAGATCTGTTCTGTAAAGGACAACTGAAATGATCGTGGGGATGGAGGAAAGTGGCAGCGTTTGGGCCTTTTTAGTTTACAAAAAAGGCAAGGAAGAGGTGACATGATAGAAGTCATGGAGAAAGTGGCAAGAGAAAAACTTTTCTCCCTCTCAACACTAGACCACCTGGACATCCAATGATACTTAATGTTGGCAGATTCAGGATAGATCAAAGAAAGGACTTTTTCACACTGTGCACAGTTAACCTATGGAACTCACTCCCACAAGAAGTCAGAGGCGGATTTAGGGAAGTGCAACCAGTTGGGCGTGGAGCCTCGGGATGGAAAGAGGCAAGGACACCAAATTTCGGTGTTGCACAGGATGCTGCTGAAATTTGAGACCCCAAAGTCGGCCACTGCAAGTAGTAGTGATGGTCACCAACTTGGATGGTTTTAGATGGGGATTGGACAAATTCATGGAGGGTAAGGCTATAAAGGGCTCCAGGCCAAGATGGCTCTGCTCTGCTTCTACAGTGCGAGGCGGCAATGTTTCTGAATGTGAATCGCTGGAAACCAGAAGAGGGGAAAGTGCTATTGGGTTTCCCATTAGGGCATCTGGTTGGCTACTGTGAGAAGAGGATGCTGGACTAGACAGGCCACTGGCCTGATCCAGTAGGCCCTTCTCAGGTTCTTAAGCAGAATTTTATTCCCCCTTGCTGCGCAGTGCTGTCATCTAAACACTCTGTGATTAATGGGATAAAGGCAGCTTAAAAAGGAGCAGAGAAATCCCAGTGGCCCTGACTGGGGACACTCTACTTCCATCAGCCCTCTGCCCATTTGTGATTCACAGGTCTGGTCCACGGGCTTCTGAGCATACACAGGGTGCCAGGTATGCCCCGGAGGCAACCACCTTACTGAAGCCAAGGAGGCCTGGCCAGCGCCTGGATTGCTGAGTCCCTGGAGCAGCCACGTGGGGGCTGCTGCTGCTGCTTTGAGTGCCATGTTGCAAGAAAGTAAGACCAGAACCGAATATTCTGCAGCTCCAAGGACAAAATGCCCCAAAGCATATGCAGAGTGTCCTTCCAAGAATCTCTTTTAACACAGATCCCTACTGATGGCTCAGCTTTACAGGAGAGCAGCCTTGGAGCAGCAGATGTGGCCTTCGTTCTTGTGCCTTTGCAGCAACCAGCAGCTGACCAAGTCTGATGAGGAGACTCCGTTCAGTTTATCCGAAGGTCACCAAGTGGCAGTGGATCGAGTTGTCCTTCGGCGGAGTCACAGCAGCAGGGAGATCCCCGCTTGGCTGGGTGCTCTTCTCAGTCCTCCAGCCAAGTAGCCAGCGGATCAGCCCTGTGGGGCAAAGCGAGCCCAGAAGGGGGCGCAGCGGACTCTTCCCCGAGGCCACCGCATGAAGCCGCCGGGCGGGCGGGCGAGCGAGGCTCTTCCCGGGGAAGCGAAACTTGGCCCGTTGCCCCGGAGGAAGCGTCGGGGAGTCCGGGGCCCCCGCTTGCCAGGAGGCTGCAATGGCCGCCTTTTGCGCCGGAGTCCGGCCCGCCGAGCGCGCGCTGCCTCGCTTTGGACGGCGCCGCGACCCCCGACGGAGAGCGCCAGCGGCGGGCTCTTTAAGAGCGAGGCCGGGCCCGCGCGTCGGAGGAGGCGCGCGATGGGCAGAGCCGGCAGCAGCAGCAGCAGCAGCAGCAGCAGGAGGCGGGGCGCGGAAGGCCGCCTCGCCCCGCATCCTGAGCGCTTCTTCCTGCTGGGCGGGTAGGCGAGCAGACGGAGCGACCGAGCGCCAGCCAGAGCCCGGGCCAGGAGCCCCGCCAGCCAGCCCGCCGCCGCCCCCGATCCAGCCCCCCGACGGGCTCCAGCCTCCGCCCGGGAAGATGGCCGGGAGCAGCTCCATCGAGGCGGTCAAGAAGAAGATCCAGACGCTGCAGCAAGTGGCCGACGAGGCCGAGGAGCGCGCCGAGCACCTCCAGCGGGAAGTGGACGCCGAGCGCCAGGCCCGCGAGCGGGTGAGAGAGCGGCGGCGGCGGCGGCGGCCGGGAGGGTCTGCTTCGCCCCCCGGAAGGGCTCGGCCGGAGCGCCGACGGCCTCGCCAGCCCCGGGGCGACCTTTTCTCTGAAGGCTTGTGGGGGGCTGGCGGGGCACCCGGCGCTGGGCTCTCCCCGGGGCGACCCAAGGAAGCGGCGCCTCGGAAGGGCGGGGTTCCCGAGCATGTGCAGAGGGCCGGTTCCACCCAGGCGGGGCTTCCCGTCGGGGGACTCGCCAGGCATCCGCCCGCATCCTGCCTGCCTCGTTCTCTCGCGCTCCGCCCAGCGCAGAGCCGCCCGGCCCACCTGGATCCGGGGAGGCGCCGCTTCCTCCGCGCTCCTTTCCCGGCCGAAGGCGGCAGGGGCGTGGCCTCGTCGCCCGCGGGCCACATGGGTACCCTCGGGAGAGGGGTCCTTCTGGAGGGTGCTGGGGGTCCCAGAGGACGGGGTCTCCGCCAAGGGCTCTGCTCTCTAGCGAAGCAGCATGTTGGAGGCGCGCGAAGCTCTTCTCGCTCCCCTTCCAGCCGCTCCTGGCAGGGGACGCCCTTGTGCCCGTTTCCCAGATGGGGGAGCGGAGGGTGCGAGGCTGGCACGCTGCCCAGGGACCTCTTTGCAGCGCCTCCTCCTCCTGGGGTTCCTGCCCCTGAATCCTCACTCTGGTACTCGCGCCCCTTCCCAGGAGCATCTCTCTAGTAGTGCAAAGAGGGCAAGGTGGGATCCTGGTGCCATTTCAGCTGTGCGTGAGAAGGAGGTTCCTGCTGCACCAGGTGCGGACCTACCTGAGAGAAGAGGGTGCGCTGCGCATTGCAGGGAGAGGTCTGGCTGTGCAAGAGCTGGGGGTGGGGAGCTGCTAGGCAGCCAGGATGGGTTGGGGGACAGGATTTGGGTCAGCTTGACACCCCCCTTTGGCCAGGGCCTGCTACTGCCTGTGACATCATTCTGTGGGGGGCCCGGACGGTTGGGGTGTGGGACATGCCTGGCCTGGCGGGGAGGGGGGGCTTGAAAGTGGTCTTGCCTCCAAGAGGAAGACAATAACGAGGGAGCAGTACTGAGGCGGTGTGTGTCTGTCCCTCTATTCCTGACCCCTCCTCTTTGCAGGCTCCTGGAACTGAAGCAGCCCGGTAAATAATTGACAGGAGGCTGGCAGGAGTCCTGCGGGTGGCTTCCTGGCCAGCCCCAGCTGGTGCCCCCCTCCAGTCCCTTGGCTGTTCCCTGAGCCCAGGTGGAATCAGATTATCTACTGCACCGTACACCTGGGGGAAGGGCACAAATATGAGGAGGGGACCGTCTGGTTTTTTGCAGAGCTGTGAGAGCGTTTCTGCAGTGCAGGGAATGAGCAGGCGCCTCCTTCCCTGTGGCTGGGACTCCCAAGCCAGAGAGGTTCTTCTGGAGGGCTTCCTTCCCTCCTGTTTCTGGCCCTCTGGGTGGGTGAGAGGGCCTTCCTTGTGCACCCCTCCCCCAAGGATCTTGTAATCCCACCCGTGGGCTTGTATTCCCACCTGTGAGTAATCCCACCCGTGGGCTGTCCCCAAGGCAAAGCTGGTTGTGTGGTGGAAAGAGAAGTGGGCTGGTAGTTGGGGTGGGGGACTTAGCCCCAGGGCCAGGCTCCCCCCCCCCCGTGTCTCCATTGGGCGAGGCGTGGAGTGGGAAGGCTGCCTGGCTTAGTTGGGCTGCAAAGGCCCAACAGCCTTGACCCCACAAACAGCTTTGGGTCCCCATAGGAAGCTCCCCTGGCTCGCCTGGTTTGGGGGTGTCTGCACTGAGCAACAGCAGCTGGCCAGAGTTTCAGGCTGGAATCCTGGTCAGCTATCAGAGACGGGGCCCTTAGCTCTACCAACAGCCAAACAATTTGTTCTAATTTAAATTCTGTTTAGTTTATGAAATTTATATACGACTTGATTGTAACAAAACATCTAACTGGTTTGTAAGACATATTGTTGTCGTTTGTCGTGTCCGCCTCTTTGTGACCCCCTGGACCAGAGCATGCCAGGCCCTCCTGTCTTCCACTGCCTCCTGCAGTTTGGTCAAACTCATGTTGGTAGCTTTGAGAACACTGTCCAACCATAAGACATATTAAGACTATCAATAAAAACCAGCAATTAAACATTGAAAAATGGTTAGAATCAGCAGTGAATGAATAGGACTAGGCTAGCAAAAATATTTTAAGAAGGCATCAAAAATAATACGGGGAAGGTGCGTGCCGGATGTCAATAGGCAGGGAGTTCCAGAGTGCTGGGGCACTTTATGGGGCACCTGTAAAAGGGCCAGTTCTGCAGGTCGAAGCAGCCAACAAGTTGTTCAGGAAAGTGCAGGTCTTGCCTTACGGCTGTTCTGGTACTCAGAAGCCTCCTGCTGCTTCTTGTGTGCAGCCTCCTGTCTTAAGAGCCCTGTGGTTAGTGCCAGGGCCGGCCCTCCCTTGAGGCAAGGTGAGGTGACCATCTCAGGCAGCAGATCGTTCTCCCCCTCCCCTTGTTTCTAATGTAGATCTTCATGCCACCTCCTTCCCTACACCACAATGTTTTGAGCTGGTCCTGGTTAGTGCAGAAGGTCCTGGCTTGAATTCCCAGCAGCATCTCCAGGTAGGGCTAAAAATGTCCCCTGCCTGAAACCCTGGAGAGCTGCTGCCAGTCAGTGTAGACAATACAGAGGCAGATGGGCCAGTGGCCATAGAAGGCAGCTTCCTATGCTCCTTTCAATCTGGCCGTTCCTGGCTCCATTCGTTGCCTAATTCCTTTGTGGCTGCTGGTGTGTCTTGTGGCAGTGAGTTCTGCAGCTAACTGTGCACTGCTGTGTGGACTCTGGGTGGCAGGTGGAGGGGCAAGCCTGTCTCTGCTGGAACCTTTAGTCTGGCCCATAAAGACAGTCATTGCAGATTCAGGATGGCTGACCCTGCTAGCTCAGACTAGAGCCTCCCTATCCAGAGGCAGTATACCTTGCCCTACCAGTACAAGAATGGAATCACAGAACTGGAGAGTTGAAAGGGACCACAAGGGTCATCTAGTCCAACCACCTGATGCAGAGCTGCATTAGCCAGGCATTTTTATATTGCCATGGGGAGGGGGGGGCGTGGAGACTTCCTTTTCTGATCTCAGGAGTCCTCCTCCAGGTGAGCATCCCAGAAGCTGGGCTTCCCCCTCCTCCTTGGTCCTGTGCCCCCCAAAGCCCTTCCGGCCTCCTCTGCTGCCGGCTGCCTCTTTGCCTCTTCCTTCCCTGGGCCCAGCTCCCCAAGGGTCTTGGGGGAAGGCTGCTTCCTGGCCCTCTGCCGCTCTGTGGTGGCTGCACAGCCCTGGGCCTGAACCAGCAGCAGAAAGCACCTCCCTTGGCTGGAATGTGGGGGGAGGGAGGGGCTGAGGGAGTGGGGGGGAGGTGGGAGGTGGGGGAGGAGCCCTGCCTCTGCTGGCTCCTCCCTTCCCTTCAGCCAGAGCATGGATGGGGAGTGAGGGGGAATCCCACCCCCATGCTTTGCAGCTGCAATAAACAGGAAATCCACCCCCCACCCCCTGAGCAGCTCCCGTCCATCTCCTTTTTGGGAGCGAATCTGCTCTGGAGGCATTCCTGCCGCTTTAGTCACTCCAGCGCAGGCAGGCAAAGCACCCATCCTGCTCCTGCTCCTCCCCCCTCTGCTGGGCTGCCTCCCTTTCCCACCCCACATGCTGCTCCTGCTGCTGCTGCCCTGGACCCCCAGCTGGGCTGCTGCGGCCCAACAGCCATCCTGTCTGGGTGGGGCAGCTTCCCAGGAGCTGCCTGTGCTGCTCTTTGCCCTGTGCTGGGCTGCACAGAGGTGGCACCAGCCTCTGGGCCAAAGGCTTTCACCACACAAAAGTTGGGCTGTGACATCACCTTGCAGGTGGCCTGGCACTCCTCTTGTGTAGGCTGGGGACCTGGGCGGGGTGTGTGTCTCAGGAGCGTCACCTAGGAAGAGCCCGCTGAATCAGGCCAAGGCCCCATGCAGCACCCTCTTCTCACAGAGGCCAAATAGCTGCCCATTATGGGAAGCTCTCCAGCAGGATTTGGGGGCAAGAGCCCTCTCCCCTCCAGTGGGGTCCAGCAACGGGGATTCAGGGAAATTGCTGCCCCTGACCGTGCAGGCAGAGCAGAGCCATCCTGGCTAGGAGACACTGAGAGCGGCTTCCTCCTCCTCCATGGATTGGTCTAATTCTCTCTTCAAACCATCCAAGTTGGGGTGGGGAGTTCCACAGTTTGCAGTAGGAGGTCGTTCTTTTTTCGGTGCTGCTGAGAGGGAGAGCGCCCCCCCCCCCGCCCTGCCCACCCCCAGTCGTGCTTCAAAGTGCCTAATGCATGATGAAGTTATAAGCCTACAAGTCTCGGCCTGCAGATGTTCAGTCTTAAGTGCAGGAGATGGAAGGAGGGGGGAGTTGGGGAAGGGAGGGGGGCGCGCTAGGGAGAGGAAGCAGAAGGGAAAGCGCCTGGGCAGCGGGGAGCCTGGGGGAGCTGCTGCAGGCCAGAGCTGGGAAGGAACCTTCCTGGGAAGTGACAGGAGACCTTCTGCAGGCAGAGCATCCCCTCAATCCCTTCATCTAAGTCATATATAGATGTTGAACAACAACGGGCCCAGGACAGAACCCTGTGACACCCCCCTTGTCACTTTTTCCCAGGATGACGAAGATCCATTAAGGTGTCCTCTTTGGGCTCCAGCCAGCTACAAATCCACCTAACGGTTACCTCCTTCAACCCACATTTTACCAGCTTCCTTCCAAGAATATCATGGGGGACTTTGTTGAAAGCCTTACTGAAATCAAGATACACTAAGTCTACAGCCTTCCCCTGATCCACCAAGCTTGTAACTCCATTAAAAAGAAAAGAAATGGGATTCATCAGGCATTACTTACTTTTGAGAAACCCATGCTGGGTCTTGGAAAAGGATGCTGTAATTACTAAGTGCTCACAGACCGACTGTTGAATTATCTGTTCTCGGAATTTTCCTGGTCTTGATGTCAAATTCACCAGTCAGTAGTTACCTGGTTCTTATCTTTCACCATTTTTGAAGATGGGGACAGCATTTGCCCAGATCAAGTCTGCAGGGACCTGCAGGGAATTCTCAATGATCATAGACATAGTCTCTGAGATTACGCCCGCAAGCTCCTTTAGTACCTTGGATTCAGCTTATCAGGCCCTGGAGATTTGAATTCATTTAAAGTAGCTAGGTGTTCCCTTACTACCTCATTTCCTATCTTGGGCTGCAGCTCCCTTCTTACATCATTTATTCTGTTACCGCCAGGTTGGGCATCAGTTTCTTTTTGGGTGAAGACAGGCAAAATAGGTGTTGAGTAGCTCCGCCTTTTCTCTGTCACCCAATAGCGTTTCTCCATCTTCTCCACACAGAGGACATACCACTTGCTTGTTCTTCCTCTTGCTTCAAACATAGCTGAATAAATCTTTTTATTATTTTTAACCTCTCTTGTAAGCATGAGCTCATTCTGAGCTTTAGCCTGCCTGACCTTCACCCTGCAACTGTTGGCTACTCATGTATACTCTTCCTTTGTGATTTCCCCTTTCTTCCATTTCGTATACATGTCCTTAAATCTCAGCTCATCTGTGAGCTCCTTATGCAGCCACACCAGTTTCCTTAAATGCCTCCCAGTTTTCTTTCTTGCTGGAATTGTCTGCATTTTTGTCTTCAGTGTTTCACTTTTAAGAAACTCCCATCCATCTTGGACTCTTTGGGATCTCACCCAGTAGCTCTTCAAGCTTTTTGAAATTGGCCTTCTTAAAGTCCAGAGTGCATGTCTGACTATAGGCAGCTTTCCCTTGCCTGTGTATCACGAAACCCAGGGGGACATGATCACTTCCTCCCAAGTTTCCAAGTACTTCCACTTCATTGATCAGTTCCTCCCTAGTGGTGAGGAACAGGTCCAAGATAGATGATCCCCTTTTTGCTTCTTCCACCTTCTGAGAAATGAAATTATAATTGAGGCAATGGAGGAATTTGTTGGACCTTACATTTTTGGCAGTCTGAGTTCCAACAGATATGGGGAAGTTGAAGTCCCCCATGTTTATATCTTTCATTTTTGAATGTTTGGTAATCTGCTCGAGTAAGGCATCACCCAAGTTTTCAGTCTGGCTTGGTGGTCTATAGCAGACCCCCACAGTAAGGTCCCTGTTGTGTTTCTCTCCTACAGTTTTTATCCATATACTCTCAATCTGCTTTCCATGCTCCAGGTCATGGTTTTCTTCAGAAGTGTACACATTCTTTACATACAATGGTCCTCCTCCTCCCTTCCTGTTTAGTCTATTCCTTTTGAACAGGTTATACCCTTCAATTCCTACATTCTAGTCATGAGTCTTATCCCATCCAGTTTCAGTAATGCCTACCAGGTCATATTGGCTGTCCTGTACAAAAGCTCCAATTTGTCTTGCTTGTTTCCCGTACTCTGTGCATTTGTGTAGAGACAACTGAAACCACCAGTCGTTCCTCCAGCTGCTTCCTTCTTGTGATTTCTTGCCCTTTAGCAGGTTTCTGGAGTACCACCTCAGTTTTCTGTGCATCACTGAAGCTATTATCCCCAGTACCATGTGTTCTTCTGTTGTCTGTCATGTTGTCTCCCTCCTGCTCAAGATCTAGTTTAAAGCTCTCCTGATCAGGTTCACGAGACTCATAGCAAAGGCATTCTTGCCAACCGCTGTGAGGTGCAGCCCATCTCTTGCCAGAAGTCATTCCTCAAGGAAGTGACGATCATGATCCAATAAGCCAAACCCTTCCTGACGACACTACCTGTGTAGCCAGTGGTTTACCACCAGTATTTTCCTCTCTTCCTAAGCCGTGGCCTTCAACAGGAAGGAGTGATGAAAAGACCACCTGTGCTCCCAGGTTCTTCAGCTTCCTGCCCAGAGTCTCATAGTCCCTTGCTATATGTTGCAGGCTGTGTGTGGCAGTATTATTTGTACCCACATGAATCAGAAGGAAGGGGTAGTGGTCAGTGGGCTTTATAAGACTTGGCAACTTCTCTGTCACATCATGAATCTTTTCATCTGAAAGACAGCACACCTCCGGGGCCATCCTGTTTCCACTGCATAATTCTGCCTCTGTCCCCCTCAGTAGGGAGTCCTCTATTACCACCACTCATCTCTCTCTCTCCTTGGGAGGGGCAGCAATTGTTCTATGCACTCTGCCTTCCAAAGCCTCCTTGGAGTGTTCTAAGGTCTCCCACTGCTGCTCTTGAGTCTCACCCTCTTGTCTATTGGAGCTTATCTGGATATTATTGGGATAGATTACAAAGGCAGGAACCTTATGGTTTGAGTACTTCCTACTCCTTCCTCTCAACTTGCCTTCTCCGGACAGCAGTTCCCTTTGTCTGCGATCGTTTCCTTGGAAGGTAGCAAGTGGGTTATCAGCATATTCATCCACAATCAGCAGCCTTGGATCTGGAGGGGTTAGGGCTGGATCCAGACACATCAAAGAAGCGTTTCAGTTAAATGTGTTGTAAACTCATCCAGGGAAATCCGGTTGGGAAAGACTTGACTCCACAGCGCCATCTGGTGTCACATTGCTATATCACATATAAAACACATTTCTTTACCAATCTAGCTGAGTCCCAGGTCAAGAATGGAAAACGTTTCCTCCAAACTCATCTCCTATCTCTTCCTCCTTTGAAGGGTAGCGGGAATCGTTCTTTGTTCTGTACCTTTCACAGTCATCTTGGTGTATTCTGAGGTCAGCAGTTGCTGTCCCAGCTCTTCTGGCCCAGAATTGGTGTCTGGGGTGAAAACATGGAAGCGATTTTGCACCCCAGTGACCCAGCATGGCTCCTGATAGTCCCACTTCTGTGTGCCACATTCCTCCAGGGGTTCATCTCTTGCAATGGCCGATCTGCCTCCTCTTTAGGGGCATCCCACCTGTCTTGTTGTTCTATCACATCCGCTCAGCTCTGACGAGAAACCTGCATGTGTTCCTGTCACTCGAAGTGTGCCTAGGCAGGCCTCAAGTTGCTGGACCTTCTCATCTAGCAAGGCAACCAGTTTGCACTTTTGCACGTTCTCCGATAGGAAGACTGACATGGCGCAGGCATTGCAGGTCATGGCAGCAGCTCCCTCACCTTCCATGCCCCTTTATCCTACGCACACCATGAGACAGGACTTGGGGCCTCCCCAACGCAGGGTCCTGGCCAGGGACTCTGTGCACAAACTCCCAGAAGTGGCAACCAGCGAAACTGTGACTGTTGCTGGCTGCTATCTCCTCCCCAACTCACTTCCTCCTTCAGCCTGGCTTCCTCTCAGCAGTAGCGCCTCCCACTCAGTATCATGTGCTCAGCAGAGCACTCTGCCGCACCCTCAAGCCGGCAAGCAGCTCAGACAAGCAAGCAGCCTTCATGCCAAAGACACAAGATCACTCTCTTCCGCCACCTCCTGCAATCCTTGCAAACGCCCCGCTCGCAAGCTCCCAGAAGCTGCAATCAACTAAGTTTAAGAAAGTGGAAACTTTTCCTGATTCCTGGAAGTGAGGCCAAGAGGAGACCAGTGGGAGTTTCAAAAGGGAAACTGCGCCCCATGCCTGGGGGGGGGGGAACACACATGTGCAAGAGCAGGGCGAGGAGAAGTGAGGCAAGGTCATGGGGGCTGAGTTGAGGGGCATTGGGCTTGGTGAGCCGGGGGGGGGGGGGAAGCAGAGGAGCTGAGATTTGGGGAAAGATGCTGGGGCTCCCCAAAGGGCCAGCAATGGGGAAGAGGGTGAGGCTCTGGCATGCCCAAGACTGGGATGGGAAAGGGGTCTAAGGCTTTGTGTGTGATCTGTGGAGTCAGGTGGGGGGCTGGTGGCAGCTCAAGGCCCCTTTTGGCTTCTGAGTTGGCTGGGCCTTGACTGGGGTCAAGCAGGGAGAGGGAAGGGGCTGGAGCTCAGGGACAGAGTGTCACCCTCAGGGACAGACCTCTGCCTGGCACCCTTCGAGTCAGGGCTGCCCACCAGTGACTGGCTGGATCCACCAAGTGGGCACAGCGTCTGATGTGTCTGGAATGGCCTTGGCTTTCCTGGGGTCGCGTTTTGTCATCTGTGGGGTGGGAAGGGCTGTGAGGTGGGAGTGGGCAGCCCTGTGGGGCTGTGGTTGGGTGGCATGGCGAGGGCAGCGCTTGCCTGGAAGGGGGGCGGCTGGGCTGTGGAGCAGGGCTGTGCCTGTGCTTGACCTCTGCACCCTCTTCTTTCCTTCCTTCCTTCCTTCCCAGGCTGAGTCCGATGTGGCCTCTCTCAACCGCCGCATCCAGCTGGTGGAGGAGGAGTTGGACCGAGCCCAAGAGCGCCTGGCCACCGCCCTGCAAAAGCTGGAGGAGACGGAGAAGATGGCTGACGAGAGCGAGAGGTGGGTGAGGGGCCTGCTTGGGGCCACTTTGGGTGGGCTTGAAAGGCCCCGGGGCAAAGAAGGTCCTCTGATGAAGATCTGAATATGGGAATGTGAAATGAGACAGAGAACAGCCAAAGTGTCGAGTCGGGAGGCACCTCAGAGGTCATCCAGACCTACCTCCTTCTGATGCAGGAAGTGCTGTTCTCGACTCATCCCTTGTCTGGATATGATGAGGAGAGGTTTCAAAGGCAGGAAGGCCTCAAGTGCTTCATGCTCCTCCTCTCAACTCTCCTGCTGCCATTCTGGATCTGCCCAGAGTCCAGTCAGGAGGAGATCCACTGGGAGACCCTCCCCCATTGGCAGGGGGGTCTCTGTGTCAGAGTCCACAGGAGAGAGGTTCTGTCAGCTCTGGCCAGAGGGGGAGGGGAGCCAGGCTGCTGAGGGGCTGCAGTCTTTTTGGCCTCTTGGCCCTGGCTTTGGGTTTTCCAAGGCAGGGAGGGCAGCCGGGAGAGAAGCCCAATCCCGGCTCCATTTCCAAGGGAGATGCCTTGTGCCATGATGAAGATCCTTGAGGTGCCTTTGTGTGGCCTGGCCCTCCCTGCGAGGTTGGCCACTGCTCTGGGCAGGGAGGGCTGCCCCCTCAGAGCCTTCAGTGGGGTCACTCAGAGGACCATTCCCATGCAGGCTGCCCCTTTGCTTACCTCTGTGTGGGGGGGTGTTGGGCAGGGAGGGGGAGGCGAGAGCCTGTCTTGGATGAGCTTCTGGGGTAGTTTCTGCCTTGGGTGTGCAAGCTAAGCCAGCAGGGCCAAGAGGAGCCAGGATGTGGCCTTCCTGGGGCTGCTCTAGATGACCCTTGGGGTCCCTTTCGACTCTAGGGCTTCTCCTTGGGGCTCCTGGGTAGGGCAGGCTCTCTGGGACTCTGGAGGGGGGCTGGTGTGGGTGGGGCAGTCCTGGGACCTGTGGCTGACAGGGCTTGTGGCTTCTCCCCACCAGAGGCATGAAGGTCATTGAGAACAGAGCCATGAAGGACGAGGAGAAGATGGAGCTCCAGGAGATGCAGCTGAAGGAGGCCAAGCACATTGCAGAGGATGCCGACCGCAAATACGAGGAGGTGAGGGGGGCCCAGGGAGGGGAGGGGGCCTGGGGAGGGAAGCAGCTGCCCCCTCCCCCGGACTGCCCTCCTGACGTCCTTCTGCTTGGCTCCTAGGTGGCCCGTAAGCTGGTGATCCTGGAGGGGGACCTGGAGCGCTCAGAGGAGAGGGCCGAGGTGGCCGAGAGGTGAGTGTGGCCGCAGGCAGAGGGGGAGGGGCTCCCTCGCTGGCCTCCCTTGAGGGAGGGGGCACCAGGGCTGGACATGTGAGTGCGGAGGCTGAGCTGCGTTGGCACTGGAGCTCCCAGCATGGTCCTTCTCTCCCCCCACCCCCATGGGGGTGGGAGTGGGGGAGGAAGGGAACCTACCCTGGCTTTTTTGCAGGCCCAGTGCTGGAGAGGGGGTCCCTGGCCTTTGGGGGGGGGCTTCATCCTCTGCACCCCCGTCCTTGAGCCACGTGGCCTGAGGCAGAGCACCTGTGGCAGAGGGGCTTCCAAGGCCCAAACAGGGCTAGAAAGGGCAGCCGTCCCTCCCTCTCTCTTGTGAGGAGGGGTCTGCTGATGCTGCACAGCCCCCTGTGTGGGGTTGGTGTTCCTTTGTAAAGGGGGGGGGTATTTCATCCACCCCCTCTTTGTTGTGGAGCTGATCCCCTTGGCTCCTTCCCATCATTTTTTACTCCCTCCCCACCGCAAGAGCCTCTCATGGTGACGTAAGGAAAACAGTGCAGGCAGGATTGAACCCCAGGCAGAGTCAGCTCCCTTTTCCCTTCCAAGGTTAACATACGCTTGACTGCATTGCGTGGGGTCCTCCTTGCAGGGCACCTGTCCTGCTCTCTGGGGGCTGCCTCCTCCCCGCTGCTAAACCTTGCTTGCCCCCTTGCCCCCCCAGCCGCATGAGGCAGCTCGAAGAGGAGCTCCGTACCATGGATCAGGCCCTCAAATCCCTGATGGCTGCAGAGGAAGAGGTACTGAGCAGGGGACCCCCTCCTCCGTCTCTCTCTCTCGTTCTCCGAGCTGTGCGCACTTCCTGCTCCTGCTTCCTCTGGTCATTGTCCTTCTGAGCACTTCTTCCTCTCCTCTCCCATCCAGTCTCTCCGCTCTGTGCTCAGATGCCACCCCCGTGCAGGACCCTCAAGGGGAGGCGTGAGAAGCGGCTGCGTGCCGGACAGAGAGGTGGCTTTGGCCCCACTCTGCGTCCGGCCATCTTGCAGAGGCTCACCCTGGGCAAGGCTGGCACAGCTGTCTGGCTAGGAATGGAGGGCAGCTGGCGCCTTCCAGAGGCACGCTGGGGAAGGGGTCTGCCTTGAAGCCCACGGCCTCTCGAGTGCAGCAAAAGCCACCAAGCAAGAGATTTCATTTATATGTGTTATATTTATGTATTTTTTTTTGTCGGATTATCTTGCTCAAGGCAACCTAAAGTGACTTAGAACCAAGCAAACAAAACCCCACATAGATACACACATCCTATGCCCTTTTAAAATGTGGCTCTTTTTGGGTGGGGGGTGTTATTGGGTTGATGTTTTTATTTTGATTATATATACAGTGGACACTGTGGGTTGCGAATGTGATCCGTGCGCGATGCACGTTCGCCACCCACAGCGTTCGCAACCTGCAGCAGTGCGTCTGCACATGCGCGGGTTGCGATTTGGTGCTTCTGCGCATGCACGACCGCCGAAACCCGGAAGTAACCCATTTTGGTACTTCCGGGTTTCGGCGCTCCGTAACCTGAAAAAACGCAACCTGAAGCGTCTGTAACCCGAGGCATGACTGTTTTGTGGTTTTTATGTTGATCTTTTCTGTGAACCACCCTGAGGCCTCTGGGTATAGGGTGGCGTATAAATTCAATAAATAACAACAATAAACAATTAAAACCAGGATGGAGGGAATAAATACAGTGGTACCTCTAGATATGAATGGGATCCGTTCTGGAGCCCCGTTCGCATCTAGAAACAAACATAACTAGCGATGGCATGTCTGCGCACGGGCGCGTTGCTTTTCGCCACTTCTGCGCATGTGCGTGACGTCATTTTGAGCGTCTGCACATGCGCAAGTGGCGAAACCCAGAAGTAACGCGCTCTGTTACTTCCGGGTTGCCACGGAGTGCCACTCGAAGGCGCTCAACCCGAATCGCATTCAACCCGAGGTATGACTGTACAGAAAAACAAGCCCCCAAGTTCTGAAAGGACACAGATAGTTAGAAGCCAAAGGCCTGGTTATACAGGAAAATGTCCACCCGGCATCTAAAGAGATAGAACGATGGCACCAGGCAAGCCTCCCTGGGGAGAGCACCCCACAAGTGGGGAATGGGCAGTGATGGGGCAGGAATAAGGCTGCCAGCCTGGAATGGTGACGTGGTTTGCAGGCAGCCCAGAAGGAGCCGGGGATCTCCCAGCCACCTTCCCCAAAGGGGCGTCTTAACCAGGGCAAAGAGCCTGAGTCGCAAGGGGTCCGAGGGAGGTTCCTGGCCTTGCAGAGACAGAGCTGGCCCTCGCCTGACACACATCTACCCGTCAATGCTGCAATGCGGGTTGTGGCCTGCGCCTGCCCCCAAGCCAGCTCAGCCCAGGGAAGTGTGCTGTGCCAAGAGGGAGGCCTCAGGATGCCTGCCGGACACATGGGCCTTGCTTTGCTGGTGGAGTCCCACGGCTTGTGTCTCTCCCCACACGGAGAAGGGGGATTCTCAGGGCCTTGGTGATGCCTCTTGGGGCACCAGAGGAACCTCCTCCTGCTGCTTTCTCTCTTCTGCTGCTGCTGCTTCTTCCTCTTCAGATTCTTCTCTGCTGTCTCAACTGGTTCTCCCTCTCTCCTTCTCTCCCTTTTCTTCCTCCTGTCCTGCGCCTGCCTCTGTCTTTCTGGACATGACACAGTAAATGTGGGGATCTTGAGGAAGAGCTGAAAATTGTCACCAACAACCTCAAGTCCCTGGAGGCCCAGGCAGACAAGGTAGGAGGGGCGGGGTGGGGTATGGAGCTTCCTGGTGGGATGAGGGTGGGTGGGCTTCCTTCAGGGAGGGACCTGCTTGGAGTGGGACAGGGGCTGCCCTCCCCCTCCTCCCTCACACTTGCTCTCCCCATCTCCAGTATTCCACCAAGGAGGACAAATACGAGGAAGAAATCAAGCTGCTGACGGACAAACTCAAGGAGGTGAGCAGCGCCTGGGACGGGTCTCCCCTCTCCCCTTTCCCTCCAAAGCTGAAGCTGAGGGGCAGAAAGTTCAGTCCCAGTAGGGCTGGGGAAAAGATCCTGAGTCAGAAACCCTGAATCTTCAACGTTCAGCGTCATGGGATGTCCATGAGATCTTGAGTTAGGAGAGAGAGGAGGAAACTTCTCTCTTTCCACTTTCTCCATGCAAGCCAGATGGACCAGGCTCTGCTGCGTTTGGAGAGGCATTTCGAAGCAAAACAAGTGCAGAGTCCGGGGGTGGTCAGGGCCAGACCCCCTCGCGGGCAGGGGGAGTGAGGAACCCTTTCAGCCTGCAGCAGGCTGAGCAGAAATCCCTCCTGCACCCCCCTCCCCAGCTGCCCAGGCAGCTTTACAATTCTGTGCACACATCTTTGGAAGCCAGAGCTGCCACTTAACTGAGGGGACCATGAAGTTTCTTTATTTGTGCAAGGCTTTGTACAAAGAACCCCCAAAGGAGGGAACTGCTTCTTAACATACTGTAAAAAAATTGAAGAAGACAGAATAAAATGACCATAAATGAACAATAGATCAGTCATCAGTAAAGGGGATGTAAGACAACAAGATCGGGGTGAGAATAAAATATGTTCCCCAAACTGAAGGACTGAGGAATATTCTCACCATCTCCTCATGATGTGGGGGGGGGGGGCAGAAGAGGGAGCCTTTGTGTTCTGCACTGGAGGGTCTTGCAAGGCTTGGAGAATGGGGAGCAGCTGCGGAGCCGCTCCTGCCTTCTAGGGGGTGGAGGTTGCAGCTCTGGACCCAACAGCAACCTGGGAGGATGCCCCCCCTTGAGTCTCCCACCCAATGGGCTCTTCATCTCTTTCCTCCCTCTCTGCCCCCCCCCCCCAGGCTGAGACCCGAGCAGAGTTTGCTGAGAGGTCTGTTGCAAAGTTGGAGAAAACCATTGACGACTTGGAAGGTAAGAAGGTGCTCCCCCCGCCTGCCCCCTCCATTGGGCTGGGAAGTGGTGGGGCTGGGACCCAGAGCAGGGGTGGGCTCTGAGAGGGTTGGGTCCTTGTGAAGGGGGTGAGGGTGTCCTCCTCTTTTCCTCCTCCACCTCCACCTCCTTGTCTCTGTCCCAGCCACCCGCCTTCCTCTTCCTCTCTCTTCCCTCCCTCTCACGTTCACTCTTTTCTTTCCACCCCCCTGCACTGCTCTGCTCTGCCTCACTGCCTCCACCTTCTCCACCTTCCATGCACACCTGCAGACGAGGTCTATGCCCAGAAGATGAAGTTCAAAGCCATCAGTGAGGAGCTGGACAATGCCCTGAACGACATCACCTCCCTCTGAGCTCCGTCTCTGTCTGCTCCCGCCCTCCCCCTTGCTTGCCCAGGATACCCCCCCAAGTGCTCCCCTGTGTGTGCTGGGGGGCGGGTTAGGAGGGGAGGCCAAGTTACCTCAGGTGGGGATAGGGGGTGGGGAGCTCTGTGCCAGCGCCAGAAGTGCCTTTCCTGGCAGAGGAGGCGGCGTTTGGGGGCTCTGCCAGCCACGCAGCTTAGGCTAGGGCTGGGGGGTAAGGGGATCTGGTGGGTGGGAGCGAGACCCCACTGTGGAAAGCAGCCTTGCACCCCCCTGGCAGGTCCCTCTGAGGCCCTGCTGGGCCCCTCTTGGCTCTGCCTGTCTGTCCGTCCCACTGTCTGTCCTCCATGCTGCATTTCATGACTCTGTTCTCCTCTCCAGTCTCCGGTTCAATAAACAGTTTCAGCAAACGCCTCTTTTTCTCTCATTCTCTTGCCTCCATTTCTGTCTCCTGCTCTGTGGGGCTCTGGACTCATCTGTTGCCCAACATGCCTGGTTAGTTCATCTGCTGTCTCAACCTCTCCCTCCCTCCTTGAACCCTGGCATCTGAGTGGGCAAGGGCTGCCCCTGCAAGGGGGGGGCGTCAAAGGGCTTCCCCCCTCCCTGTGAGCCCCATGGAGGCCGGGGGCTTGGAGGGTCCTGCCTCTTTGCCCTTGGCCAGCCTTCTGGGGGCACTGAGGGGTGTGACCCCTTGGGAGCCCCAAGGGAGCCTCTTGCCCCCTGCCTGTCTGCTGCCCTCCATCCTGCAGCTGGCCTCCTCCCCTGGCTCCAGATTGGGGAAGATGGCAGGTGGCAGGAGATAACTGGGTGTCCTTGGTTGGGTTGCCTGGCAGCTGTCCCAGGGAAACGTTTCTGGCTTGGGGGGTCTCAACCAGCTGCTCCCTCCAAGAGGCTATGGGGACGTGGCATGGAGGCCTCCCTGGAGCAGCAGCCCTGATGTCCAGGGCTTCCCTTTTCCTCTGGTGCTGATGGGCCTCCTGCCCTTCCTCTTCTCTCTCTCTCATTCTGTCTCTCTTTCTCCTTTCTTGCTGCTGGACATGGATCTTTCCCCTCCAGAGCGCTCCCGGCAGGAGGAGGAGAAAAACAGCCTCCTGGCTACTGAGCTGCGTCTGGTCCTCCACGGCCTCCACAACTGAGCCCCCCAGCTGCCCCCGCCCTTGCCTGCTTCATGGGGGAGGGCAGCCCCTCCCCTGCCCCTCCCTTCTCCCCCGTGAGAAGCCTTTTGTGGAGCAAGAGGATTGGGGAAGGGGGTCTCCTCTCTTGCACGCCTTCCTGGAGGATGGGCCTCCCAGAAGAGAGGCGTGGTTCCCAGTCTGAGCTGGAGAAGAGCTCAGCAGACGCTGGGCAGGGTGGGAGCCCCTTTTGACAAGGGGTGGGGTGAATGGGACAGGATCCTGGCAAGCAGCGTCTCTCCTCTCTGATTCTCCATCTCTCCTGAACTGCTCTTCTTGCTGCTGCTGCCTTGCTCCTCTTCACGGATCGACACCCTCTTCCAAGGTGTTTGGGGACCGGAGCTGACTGTTCTCCTTAGGAGCAGGTGGTGGTGAAGAGGGCAGGCCTCTGGGCAACCAGGACGGAGGGGCCACCTCAGCTGCCCTCCAGGGATTGGGGCGGAGGGGGCGGATCTTGCTATTGGATGGAGCCGCTGAACTGACTGGGCCCTCACTCTCTCTGTGTGTGTGTGTGTCTCTTTATCTCCTGCCTCTTTCTCTCCTGGGCTGGGGGGGGGGTGGGCTTCCTTCTGATGGTGGTGGGGTGTGCCTGGGTGCCTGCCTGCCTTGTGTTTGCAGAGAGCTTGGCCAGCGCCAAGGAGGAGAACGTCGGCATCCACCAGGTCCTGGACCAGACACTGCTGGAATTGAACAACCTCTGAGGAGGGTCTGGAGGAGCAGCAGCAGCGGCCCCCTCCCCCCCGCCCCACACTCTTGCCCGGCCAGCACCTCCTGCTGAAGGGAAGCCCCCTTGCCCCCCAGGCCTGTGCTGGCCCCTGTGGGGCTCTGCCTCTGCACTGCCCCTCACCTGCCTGTCCAGTTATTAAAGCAAGTTGAACAGAGGAGGGCTGTGTCTCCCGAGGTCTCTTTTGGGTGGGGCAGCGGGGAGGGAGGGGCAGAGGGTGGGAGGTGACTGGCCCACTGCAGGGGGTGGGGGTCTCTGGACATAGGCCTCATTGTTGTCCTCTGGGGGAAGGCTAAGGTACTTGTGGATACTCCCTTGAGGGGTGGGGGAGTGCTAGGGAAGAGCTGTGGCCCCTCTTGTTTTTGGGGTGGTCTGGGCTGACACCCGAGGTGAACCACAACCCCCCTGGGATTAAAGGGTGAGTGCAGTGCCCAGGAGACCTCAGAGGACAGCACCTGCCATTTGCTCCCTAGGGGAGGAGAGCAGCAGCGCCTTCGATTTGTGGGGCCCCTGGAGGCAATGCTTTTCTTTGATCTGCCGCCCAAGGCGGTTGCCTCACCTTGCCTCATGGGTGGGCCAGCCCTGGTGGTGGACTCCAAGGAGAAGGCAAGGGGTGTCTGAGAGGGCGTTTGGAGGAGCTGGTCCTTGGAAGAATGTAGCCATGTAGCTCAGTGTTGTCTGCACTGGCTGGCAGCTGCTCTCTAGGTGGGATGGACCCTGGACTCTTCTGCACGCCAAGCCAGGTGCTCCACAAACAGCTGCAGCCCAGCAATGGGGCCTGAGGGGAGGCAGGCTGGCTGGCCAGGCAGGGAGGAGGAGGAGGAGCTGGCTGGGCAAGCCACCAGCCGGAGGAGATCCCTGTTGGGGGGCCAAGAGCCCTACAGGACTGGACACAGTCACTGTGGGGGAAATGGAACCAGTACCTACCTTCCATGTTTTGAAGAGGAGGTAGATGCAGACCTGGCCTTCAGCGTGTGGGTGGGACCCAGACACTTCTTAGCCCCCCTAATTGTAGGAAGGATGGAGGCTTCCAGGTCTGGCTGCAATGCCTGCTGGGTGCCGGAGACCCTGGGGCAACCACCCTGCGCCCCTTGGGGTGGGGTTCCTCATGTGCCGGATGAGGCTGCCTTGCCCTTCTGCAGCGTTCTGACCCCCATGCTCTGTCTCGTGGCCCCAGGTGGGGGGGTGGCAGGGATTCATTTCTGCCCGCGGGAGTTGCGCTCTGAGCCCGCCAGGTGCTTTGGATAGGAGGGGAGAACTAATGTAAGCTTGAGATCATCCAGCTTCCCAACCTGAGGATGTGAAAGCTGTCAATCAAAAAGGGATGCACGAGGATGCACCTGTTCCTGGAGAACAGGTGAAGTCCCGGCAGACTGGAGGAGGGCAAATGTTGTGCCTATTTTCAAAAAGGGGAAAAGAGAGGACCCAAATAATTACCGCCCAGTCAGTCTGACATCAATACCAGGGAAGATTCTGGAGCAGATCATTAAGCAAACAGTCTGTGAGCACCTAGAAAGGAATGCTGTGATCACCAATAGTCAGCATGGATTTCTGAAAAATAAGTCATGTCAGACTAACCTGATCTCGCTTTTGACAGAATTACAAGCCTGGTAGATGAAGGGAACGCAGTGGATGTAGCCTACCTTGATTTCAGCAAGGCATTTGACAAGGTGCCTCACGATATCCTTGTAAAGAAGCTGGTAAAATGTGGTCTTGACTATGCTACCACTCAGTGGATTTGTAACTGGCTGACTGACCGAACCCAAAGGGTGCTCATCAATGGTTCCTCTTTATCCTGGAGAAGAGTGACTAGTGGGGTGCCACAGGGTTCTGTCTTGGGCCCGGTCTTATTCAACATCTTTATCAACGACTTGGATGATGGACTCAAGGGCATCCTGATCAAATTTGCAGATGACACCAAACTGGGAGGGGTGGCTAACACCCCAGAGGACAGGATCACACTTCAAAACGACCTTGACAGATTAGAGAACTGGGCCAAAACAAACAAGATGAATTTTAACAGGGAGAAATGTAAAGTATTGCACTTGGGCAAAAAGAATGAGAAGCACAAATACAAGATGGGTGACACCTGGCTTGAGAGCAGTACATGTGAAAAGGATCTAGGAGTCTTGGTTGACCACAAACTTGACATGAGCCAACAGTGTGACGCGGCAGCTAAAAAAGCCAATGCAATTCTGGGCTGCATCAATAGGAGTATAGCATCTAGATCAAGGGAAGTAATAGTGCCACTGTATTCTGCTCTGGTCAGACCTCACCTGGAGTACTGTGTCCAGTTCTGGGCACCACAGTTCAAGAAGGACACTGACAAACTGGAACGTGTCCAGAGGAGGGCAACCAAAATGGTCAAAGGCCTGGAAACGATGCCTTATGAGGAACGGCTAAGGGAGCTGGGCATGTTTAGCCTGGAGAAGAGGAGGTTAAGGGGTGATATGATAGCCATGTTCAAATATATAAAAGGATGTCACATAGAGGAGGGAGAAAGGTTGTTTTCTGCTGCTCCAGAGAAGCGGACACGGAGCAATGGATCCAAACTACAAGAAAGAAGATTCCACCTAAACATTAGGAAGAACTTCCTGACAGTAAGAGCTGTTTGACAGTGGAATTTGCTGCCAAGGAGTGTGGTGGAGTCTCCTTCTTTGGAGGTCTTTAAGCAGAGGCTTGACAACCATATGTCAGGAGTGCTCTGATGGTGTTTCCTGCTTGGCAGGGGGTTGGACTCGATGGCCCTTGTGGTCTCTTCCAACTCTATGATTCTATGATTCTATGATTCTAGGATCCAGGAAGTTGGAGGCGAGAAGAGCGGGGGAAAGGTTTTATGTTGACGCCCAATGAGGTGTCACCCCAAAAGGCATTGTGAGGATTCCTCAGGCGGCTGAATAAGCAGTAAAAGGGCAATTGCAGCTCAGTGAAAATAAGTGTACAGTGATGCACATTGCTGCAAAATAAATACACCTTAAATTTCACAGCATTGTAGAGTTGGAAGGGACCCCAAGTGTCATCTAGCCCAACCTCTTGCAATGCAGAATAAAACAGCTAAAGAATTCATCAGAGAGTCCATTTCATTGTGTTAACAGCTCTTGCTCTCAGAAGGTTCCTCCTGGTGTACTGTCAGTCTATAGCCGGTTGAGTCCTGCCCTGCGGAGCAGGAAAACAAGCTTGCTTCATCTTCCTTTTGACAACCTTTAGAGATTTGAAGATGTCTCTCATATCTCCTCTCAGTCTCCTCTTTTCCAAGCTAAACATACCCAGCTCCTTCAACTGTTCCTCATAAGGATTGGTTTCTAGACGTTCCAGCTTGTCAACATCCGCCTTAAATTGTGGTGACCAGAATTGGACACACTATTCCAGGTGTGGCCTGACCAAGGCAGAAGAGAGTGGGACTATGACTTCCCTTGATCTGGACACTAGACTTCTGTTGATGCAGCCTAGAATAGCATTTGCTTTTTCTGCTGCTGCATCACACTGTTGACTCATGTTAAGCTTGTGGTCCTAAGACCCCTGGATCTTTTTCACATGTCCTACTGGTAAGCCAGATGTTCCTCATCTTATATGTGTGCATCTGGTTCTTCCTGCTTAAGTGCAGAACCTTACATTGTCCCTATTGAAATTCATTTTGTTAGCTTGTGCCAAATTCTCCAAGCTGTTGTGCTCATTTTGAATCTTGCTTCTGTCTTCTGTGGCACTGGCCACCCCTCCCAGTTTGGTGCCATCTGCAAATTGGATGAGCACCCCCTCAATTCCTTCATCCAAGTCATTTATACATGTTGAAGGACAACGGGCCCAGGACAGAACCCTGTGACACCCCCCTTGTCACTTTTTCCAGGATGACGAAGATCCATTAAGGAGTCCTCTTTGGGCTCCAGCCAGCTACAAATCCACCTAACGGTTACCTCCTTCAACCCACATTTTACCAGCTTCCTTCCAAGAATATCATGGGGGACTTTGTCGAAAGCCTTAGTGCTTTATATATATATAAAGGTGCCCATACTCACCATGAAGTTGTTACAGTAGGTGTCACGCTTTTAACATTTGAAAAAAGGTGCCGGTACTGTGTACCCTTGAGCTCCCTCCCCTCCATCCGCCCCCCCAGCAAGTCAAGATCCGCTCCGCCCGCCGTGTTCCTAGATGGTGGGGCGGGAGGGGTCGCGCGCTCTCCCCACGGCCAGAGTTCGGCAGCTGCAACTCCCCGCCCCCCAGGCCGAGGGCCCTTCGCCCTCCCCGCCCCGCAGCTGGTGGGCACTGCCGGTCCCCCGGGCTCCCCTGCCGCCCCCCATTCGACTCCAGTCGCCCCGCCCGGCCTGCGGGTCCCGGAGCGAACGCCGCGCGCTCGCAACGGACGGGGCGCCCGCCAGCCGCGCCCGGGAACGGCCCGGGGGGGGGGATCGGAAGGCGCCCGGGAGCCCCTGAGCCGCCTCCGCGCCGCCGCCGCCGCGCCCCCCGGCCCGAGGAGGAGGAGGAGGAGGAGCCTCGGCGCCGCCGGGATGTGATGTCAGGAGGGCGGAAGCGGCGGGGCGGAGGCCCGGCTTGGGCCGAGGGGCGGAGGGCGGCAGAAGCGCGTCTTCCCGGGCGCCGGGACCGGCTGGGCTCGCATCGCGGCGGCGGGGCGGGGCGGCGGCGCCCCGTCGGGGCTGGGTGCGCGGCCCGAGTGCGGCCATGACTCTGGCCGTCTTCTTCGGCTGCGCCTTCATCGCCTTCGGGCCGGCGCTGGCGCTCTTCCTGCTGACGGTGGTGGCCGAGCCGCTGCGCATCATCATCCTCATCGCAGGGTCAGTGCCGGGGGGGGGGAGGAGAGGGGGACCGGGAAGACCCCCCCCCCGCAGACCGCGCCCCCTCCCCGCGAGGGCCGGCGGAGGAAGAGGGGTGCGTGCCCTGGGTGCGGCCCGGCCCGGCGTCATCCCGGGGGAGGGGTGCGCCCCGGTGCCGGACCCCCAAGTGCCGGTGGGCTTGGGGGCGGGGGGCGATGCCTGGGCCCCGGGGCTCCTGGGCCAGGCTGCGGGGTGCCAGGCTGGGGGGCGCCGGTGACCTTGGCCCTCCTCTCCTCCGCTGCAGGGCCTTCTTCTGGCTGGCCTCGCTGCTCTTCTCCTCGCTGGTCTGGTTCATCGCGGCCAAGGCCAGCGACCCGTCCAACGAGGCGCTCCAGAGGGGCCTCCTCATCTTTGGGGTCATCTTCTCGGTGCTGCTGCAGGAGGCCTTCCGCTTCCTCTACTACAAGCTGCTCAGGTAGGGGCGCTGGGGGGCACACGGGGGGGGGGGCTACAGCCTTGGGCCAGGAAAGGTCCCTTTAAAGCCCAGTCCTGCGCTGCCAAGGGGACCCTCCCTCTCAGCAACCCAGTGACAATCCGGGGGGGGGGAGAAGCAGTGGTGGAAGCTGCAGGTGGCAAGCGAGGCCCCCCGGGAGTCACCGCCCAACCAGCTTGATGCCAGTCCTGGGCAAAATAATGCTGCCCATGACCCCTTACGCCGGTTGATACCACAGATTGTCCAGGTGCCCATTTTTGACCCCCCAAAAGAAGGCCTGGCAGCACTGGGAGAAGCCTCTGCCTGAATGCCTGGACTGCTGTGGCTGCTGCCGGTCAGGGCAGGCAGGGCTGGGTGGGTGGAGGGAGGGATGTGGGGCACCAGGCAGCTCCCCCTCTTCCTGTCTGTGGTGGGTTGAGCAGCCACAGACAAGGGGGGCTGGTTAGGGGGGTCATCCTGGAGGGAGGCTGGGGGGGGCAGGGCTCTTCCCTGCCTCTTCATAATTCCTGGGAGCTGCAGCAATGTTATAGAGGTCAGTAATCTGAAGGAAACAAAGCTGCATAAAGCAATGTAGCGCCATGAGAAAATACAGCTTCAACTGGTATATGAAGAGGCTTATCAGAGCAGATTCTTAGGCTGATTGAATATTGGGCCTCCCTGTAACCTCCCTGAGCCTCTCTGCTTGTGTATCAGAACGTCTTCCCTTCCCCGGGCATTTTGGACTGATGCTCAGGGATTCCCACCCAGGCCTGAGGGTCACGATCCCACAGCCTCCAGCTGGGCAAAAGCATGGGAAGCCAAACAGGGAGGCGGCAAGCAGAGGAAGCAAGACCGTTCTTTGCACTCCTCTTACACTGAGGAGCTGCAGTGGAAGTCTGCACCTTGGACCCTGCCTGCTTCTTCGGCCGTCTTCACTCGGATCTCTTTTGGGCTCCGACGCATCTCATCATGCGGAAGGCCTGCCTTTCCCCCATAATCTTACCCTCCAAGGTTGCACATTGCCGTCAGCGCAGTGATCCTTCCTGTTGCCAGCACCAACTTGTTGCACCCTCCCCCGACCCCCATGAGGACTGTGGGGTGGAGGAGACTCCAGGGCAAAGTGAGATCCCTGGGGCAGAGCGGTGTGGGTTGCCCCAGTGCCCACCACAGGGGCTTGGCAGACACAGCAATGGCTGCTGCAGGGGCAGAGGAGATCCTGGTCTGCCTGTAGCAAGGGGTCTTTCCTGGGCCTTGGGTCCCCTTGAGGCCAGTGTGCCTGGCTGGACTGGGAGTGCTGGGCCAAAGGCCGCCTGTCCTGTCTGCAAGACGCCCCCCCCATCCACCTCTGGAGCTCAGAGATTCCCCTTGAAGGCTGATCCTGATGAGCGCCGCTCCTGGGGAGAGATGGTGGGCTGCCCCATGACTGTGAAGGCCAGCAGGGGGGCTTGCCTTGCGTGGACTCCAACCATCAGCTTGGCTGGGGGTTTCTTCTGTGAGACGTTATTCTCCTGAAATAAAGTTGAAAATAGAGGCAGAGAGGAAGGGTGCCTCTCACTTTGCACCAAGACTGCAGGCTCTCGTTGTGATTCCTGCCTTGCTGAGGGGGTCCCTTGGGGGTCCCTTCCAGCTCTACAATTCTCGGGTTCTAAGGCAGGCCAAAGTGCTTAAGGTGAGATATGCTGAAGATTTCCAGTACAAAACTCAGGATTCCTTCTCTCCCCTGACCAGGAAGGCGATTGAGGGGCTGTTGGCCCTGAGTGAAGATGGCTGCTCTCCCATCTCCATCCAGCAGATGGCGTATGGTGCGTTTCTAGAGGGCAGGGAAGAGAAATGGGCAAAGAGGGTCTTGGGAGGGAGGGAGAAAGGAGGCCCGAAAGCGGGGGGTGGGGTCCCACTTTATTCAGAGGGGTCCGACTTCTATATCCATGGGAAGGGCTGCTTGAGCGCGCCCCCCCCCCCCGGTCCAGACAATCTGGGGCTGAGCTATCTCCCTTCTGGGAGGGAAAAGAGCGGTCCAGGAACGGGTGGAGAACATGGGGGAGGCTCTGGGAGCATTCCTGGTGAAATGTCTGGGTCTGAGGAGGGGTGGGAGGGATCCACGGTCTGACTCTGCACACAACGGCTTCTTCCCCGCAGTGGCCGGCCTGGGCTTTGGGCTCATGAGTGGGGCCTTCTCCATGATCAACCTTCTGGCGGACGCTCTGGGGCCAGGCACGGTGGGCATCCACGGGGACTCCCAGCTCTACTTCCTGACGTCAGGTAAGGGTCTCCAGAGGCTCCCCCCCCCCCTTGACCCCTCTGGCCTGCCTCCTCCCTGCCTAACGGACGCTCTCTCCCGCCACAGCCTTCATGACGCTGGTGCTGGTCCTTCTGCACACCTTCTGGGGGGTCATCTTCTTCCACGGCTGTGAGACCAAGCAGTGGTGGGAGGTGGGGGCTGTGGTGCTCACCCACCTGATCGTCTCTGGCCTGGTGAGTAGCTGGAGGGCAGAGAGGGGCTCACTTCTCATGCTGCTGCTTGCCAAAAACAGGGTTCATTTATTTATTTATTTATTTATTTATTTGCTATAAAGGTGTAGCATAAAACAAACAGTATATTGCATAATAAACAAATCAGGTGCAACATTTATTCTTTTATTATAAAGGAAGGATAAAAGAATAAATGGAATATAAAATAATGGCATCAATGAAGTCAAGCTACCAAAAACAAATCCTGGGCGATAAAGGGCAGAGAAGGGAGCAGCTGCCATGGGGGGTGGCAGGGGCTTGGGGTCGAGTGGTGCAACCTTGACACTGCGCCTGCTCTGTGCTGAGCTCCCTGCCACGCACCCCCTTCCGCTGCCGCTGACTGGCAGTGATGTGGGGCTGGGAAGGGGAGAGGGAAAGCACTGCCACCCCCTCCGGCCACCCCACGGGCTGCTATGGGGTGTCTCTTCCACACTCTCCATTCCAGCTCCCTTAAGAAGTAGGAAAATGCATTAATCTAAATCATAAAGGAATAAGTGAAATTATACTGACTTGGGTCTTCCAAATTCCCAACTGTTCTTAACTTGCTAGTATTTAGTATTTTAATAGTTGTTTTTTTTAAAAAAAAAATGAATCTCCAGAGAAATTTGCTGTTATTTAGCTACATTTAATTGCCAGCATAAAACAGTCTGTATCTGCCTCTCAAATAGAAAATTCAGCACTGCAAAGTCATGTCCCAGGTAAAAAGAAGAGGAGTCCCCAAAGTGTTTGCAGTCTTTATGCAAAAGTTAGAAGAACTTCTGGTATAAAATTAGTATTACCACAGAAGCAAGTTTTACAGGGGAGGGAGACATGTGATGGAGAAGTCTAATTGGAGCTTTGAATGGAATCTGTGAAGCTGCTCCATGTCCACAGAAATGGAAATGCTTCGGGGGGAGATGGGAATGGCATGAAAGGATGGGGAAGACCATGCTAGTCTCTTCATGTTCAGAGGAAGCAGCCCAGCAAGGTCAAAGGAACAGACAGTCGGAGAGTGGGAAAGCCAGCTGAGGAGAAGCAACTCTCCAAAAGCTCCCTGAGGAATAGATCCTTGAAAGTCCCTGAAAACAAGACAAACAGAGCCATTTTTACCTTGTACCCAAATGCTTCTCATGTGGGAGCCAGTTGAAAATCCCCTGGGAGGGAGTTGCGTCAAGGGGGCACCACCACCGAGAAGGCCCTGCTTCTTGCCGCTGGGCTCCCAAGTCGCTCCAGCCTGTGGGTGCAACCAGCCAGGCCCAGTTGCCCACTGGCAGCCAGTGCATGCTTAGCGATTGGGGTGGATGGTGAGACACCTCCCCCCCCATGATGCTCCTCCAGGATCTGGGCTGCCGCAGGCGCAACTTCCTTCCCACGCTGAGTCAGAGAGGTGCCCCTTGCCACACGCCGGCCTCTGCGATGGTGCATTCATGGAGAAACTGGTTCAGGAAGCAGCAGCCAGCTCCCAGGTGCACTGGGGGGGGGGAGAGAGAGAAAGGGCTGGCCCCAGACTTGGGGACCCCCTCCCATTCTGCTCTTCCCCCCTTCCCTGCCTCTCCTGTCCCATCTTCCCAAGACCCAGCATAGGCGTTCCTGGGCACCTTCTGCCCTCACCTGTGCCAAGAGAGCTCTGAAGCGGCTTCCTGAACCCAGCACTTTGGTCATGGGGAGCTCAGGTGTCGTATTGGAGGGGGGGTGTTGACACACCCTCTTTGACCTGGGCCAGCACACCTGAAACAAGGTGAATGGAGTGTCTGGGTCACCATGAAAGGGGGCCGTGATGGTCCTCTGAGGGGCCTCACCCCCCCCCCCCAACACACTGCTGGCAGCCAAAGGGTGAGGCAGGTCTGAGATACTTCTTCCATTCAGTTGTCAGACCAGCAGAAATCTGAACAGGCCAATTGTTAGATGACGGGTAGGAGCAAGTTCTTAAGGACATTCTAAAAATCCTAAAAAGACAAGAAAAGCAGCAGCACATTTGAGAACTATCCTGCAAAGGAGAGAATGGAAAAGTTTCATTCAGAATGAAACTCAATTCCTGCCCTATCTTCACCTTACATTTAGCATATAGTGATTCAAAATCCTGGGTTAGAATCAGAGTTGTTGCTGAAAGGCGACCCCAAAGGTCATCTAGCCCAACCCCCTGCGGTGCAGGAACCACAGCTAAAGAATCCCTCACAGATGACCACCCAATCTCTGCTGAAAACCTTCCAAGGCAGGAGATTCCACCACCGCCCAAGGGAGCCTTTTGACTACAGTCATAGCTCATGCTGTTTGCTTCATGATACATTTTTTCAGGTTGCATCCCGTAGCGACCCGGAAGTACTGGCAAGGGTTACTTCCAGGTTTCGCCGCTCACGCATGCGCAGACGCAGCGAATTGCAACCTGTGCGTGCGCAGACGCGCTGCTGTGGGTTGCGTTCTATTCATGTTGCGAATGGGCCTCCGGAACGGATCCCGTTCGCAACCAGAGATACCACTGTACATCTGTTGATGCAGCCTAGAATAGCATTAATCTTTTTTTGCTGCTGCATCACACGGTGGACTCAAGTTAAGACCCCTGGATCCTTTTCACATGCTTTGCTGGCAAGCCAGGTGTCCCTCATCTTATATTTGTGCACTTGGTTCTTCCCGTCTAATTGCAAAACCTGACATTTGTCCCTATGGAAATGCCTTTTGTTAGTTAGTTCTTCCTCCAGAAGCATTTGCTTCCCCTCCCTGTTTGTCTACTGCAATGTGATGTTGTCTCCCTTCCTGCAGACGTTCTGGAACCCGATCTACCTGGGGAGCCTCCTCCCTGCCTACCTGCTCATGGCAGGTGCTGCCGTCTGGGCCTTCCTCGTCTCTGGCGGCTCCAAAGAGAACCTGCGCCACTTCCTCCTGTGTAAGTATGGCCAGAGGTTGCCTGAGGGGCAGCAACACCCATCACCCTGGCTCCAAGCAGCAACCCACCCAGAAGCCTTTGGCTCTCCCTGGAGTTGGCCCCTCCATCTCCTGGGGCTTGAGGTCTCAGGCTCTTTGCCTCTGACCCCCTCTGTCTGTTTCCACAGGCCTGCGGAGTGGGACAGCGCCACCACCCGGATCCTGAGGCCCCGCTGGGCTCCCCCGCCCTGTCCTTTGGAGCCATTTGCTGAGGCAAGGAGGATGCAGCTGCTGTGCCTTTGGGAGTGCTTCTGGGCCTCAGGAGGGGGCCGCTGGACTTGCCCCCAGAAGCCCCTCTTGGGGCGAGTTGCCGTAGAAGGTCTGGGCACAAGGGGCGCTGCAGCAGAGCTCCTGGACCCTGTGAATCTGCAGCAAAAGCCCCCTCCCTCCAGAGAGGGGTTCCTGGCTCTGGCCAGCTGGCGTTGTTTAAATAGGGGGTGGGCTTTGGGGGTGCTGCCGGCATAGGGTGTTGGGGGGGGTGAGCATCTGTCTCTGTGGGGTGGGGGTGCAGAGGGAGAGCCAGCTGTGTGGTCTGCCTAGAGGAGAGAGGGGATCGGGGTGGGGGTTACTGGGGAAGGGAGAGTGCCCCACATGGCCTCTTTCTTTCATGGGGGGGGCACATCTCTGCACATTTGTACTAATAAAAAGGCTGGATGAGGCCCACAGTGTGTGCGTACCTGTCTGTGGGCAGTGGTGGGGTTGATGGTGCTACACTGAGGAAGGGGGGCTTCAGAGAGGGGGCTGCATCCTCTGAGAAATAGGACTGGGTTGGCTGCTGGTTGCTTCAGGGGCTCCTCCTGTTTGGATTCTGTTTCTGGGGGTGGCAAGATGTCCTTTGGTGACCTTCCAGTCTGATGAGAAATGGTTGTGGGGGCTGGTTTTGTTTAGCCTGGAAGAGAGGAGGCTGAGAGGAGATAGGAGAGCCGTCCTCAAATATCCCAAGGGCTGCCACATGGAAGAGGGAACAAGCTTGTTTTCTCCTGCTCTGGAGGGTAAGCTTCAAACCAATGGCTTCAAGTTACAAGAAAGGAGAGTCCAGCTAAACCTCAGGATGAACTTTCTGGTGTCAAGAGACAGTCTCCCTCTGCAGCAGTGTTTCCCAACCTTTGGCCTCCAGCTGTTTGGAATACAACTCCCATCATCCATGGCCACTGGTCCTGCTAGCTAGGGATGATGGGAGTTGTAGTCCAAAAGCAGCTTGAGACCCAAAGTTGGGAAACGCTGCTCTGGAGGATGTGGATTCCCCTTCCTTGAAGGTTTTTAAGCACAGCTTGGATGGCTACCTGCCATGGATGCTTTAGTTGAAATTCCTTCATTGCAGAGGGTTGGGCTAGATGCTTCTCAGGGTCCCTTTCAACTCTACAGTTCTATTAAATGAATAAATACTTTCGGGTAATTGGACCTCAGTTAATCCAGGGTTTTCAACGCTAGTACTAATTGGGCCCCAAAATGCCTCCTGTTTCGCTGTATACTCTGGGACAATTTTTCAATGTGAAGAGACCCAAATATAGAAAGAAACACAAGTTTCTTTGATAAACTACACAGGTAAGGCCACGTGAGCCGCCTCCTCCAACCGTCCCCAAACCTTTAGGGAAAAAGGTCATATAGCTCCAAATAACTGCCATGAAGATGCATCCCGAGGGCATTAAGCTTGAGCTCTTTCACTGCCCCTCCCTTTGCTGGGACCTGGAGCTTATCCTGCTTCTGACATGGTTTGTTTGAGTTTTATACCACCCTCCACTGATGCCCTAAGGATACACCTGCATCCAACCTCAGCCATATCCACAGAAACCCCCGTGGCCAGTCAACCTCTGCAACTAGCTCCCCATCAGCCTGACACTCCAACAATGTTGGCCATTAAAGAAAACAGAAATAAATAGAAGAAAAGAGGGGCACTGCTAGTGAAGGGGTCTTCACCTGGTCCATCTCTGTCCTGCTGATCGTTATCCATTCTTGCTTCAACTTGGGAATCGGGAAGTCTGGCCTTTGAATCCATGCCCAGAACATGGTGCCTTCACATCAAGCCAGTGTGAAGAGAGCAATCCTGGTGGTGCCAGGCTGAGTCCAGTGCCAGGAGGGCCCTTGCCAGCTGGTGTGAAGGGAGTCTAATCCTGCTTGGCTGACTCCTTGTTTCTCCTTCCCATGTCAAGTGGTGAGAAGGACAAAACAGTAACCTAAGTAGAGACTGGCTGCTGGATCAGGCCAAGGGCCAGAGTGTTCTGTATCCTGTTCTCACAGTGCCCAACCAGATGCCCATTATGGGAAACCTGCAAGAAGAACAGGCAGAAAGCACCCTTTTGCGGGCAAAGCCGAAAAGTCCTGCTTGCAGCTGCCTTTCAGCCACCACACCAGGAACCTCAGCCAAGGGATCTTGACAGGTGGCAAGGAAATCTCACCTGCCAATCAGGTGACAGCATGAGGTCATGTGATTCACAGTCTGCCAGCTTCCCCCACCTGCCAGCTTTAGCAAAGGCTGGTCTTGACAAGAATCTGGTCTGTGGAGCCAAAAATGTCCCTGCTTTACAGAAGTGGCCTGTTGGGCCCCTCCCCCCTTCCTGCGGCTCAGCCTCAGGGCCATGCCAGTCGGCAGCTGCCCCCTAGGCCTCTTGTCACAGGCCCTCCCTCCCCCCTGCTAAAAAGGTGCCCACCACCCACTGCCATTGGGCCTGGCACTGCAGCTGAGTCCAGAAGCCACTGGGTCTTTGAGCTCCACACTTTCTCCACAGACAGTGGTTCTCCAGGGCTCAGGCCGGGACTCTTTCCCAACTCTGTCTCAAAATGCTGGGGATTCACCTGGAGAACTACTACCTGCAAAGCAGGTTCTCTACCACTGAGCTACAGCCCTTCCCTACTCCCACCCCAGCTGGTTTATTGGCCATGGCAATTCAGTCACCAAACTTGTCTATGTGCTCTTGGGCTTCTGATTTCTCTTGAACAACTGACATGGCAGCGCCAGTCTGGCAAAGTGGTCTTGATCCATTCACCCATTGCATCCTGACATTTCTCTCCTGTATAGTCCTAGAATTGAGGAGTTGGAAGGACCCAAAGAGTCATCTAGTCCAACCCTCTGCAACCCGCAGTTTCTTGGGAGGCCGCCTTTCTTGTATGTGCACAGCATGGTTGAGGTGTGCTGTGCTGCCCAAGGCCCTTTTGCCCATCCCTGCCTTGTGTCGTGGGGCATCGTCTCCACGCCTGGATCCAGGGCCACACTTCATTTCCCAGCCGAAGGACACCCCACAGCCAAGCGGGCATCAGAAGCAGCAGAGCTGGAACCTCTGGGGGCAGAGGCAGGCCAGGCTGGCTCTGAGGCCTCCCCCTCTCCCCATACCCAGGGCCCTTTGGGGTCTCCCTGAAGCCCTGCTCTTTCAGGTGGGGTGGGGAGGCTTCCCCCAGAACTGAACAAGGGAGGGGGCTCCCCGGGAAGAGGGTGGGTTGTCCTTCACATCAGGAATGCTTTAGCTTTGATTCCTGCACTGCAGGGGGTTGGACTGGATGACCCCAGGGGTCCGTTCCAATCCAGCACATCTGTGACTCTCTTTTAAAAAGTGGGCAGAGATGGGAGCATGTGATTCAAACCTTTTTGTAATGCAAAAAAGAACTGGCACAATAAAGGCCTGGTTCCATTGTGGGTTCTTGTCAAAAGGGGGTGGGGTGCAAGAGGGTCTCAGTTCACAACAAATGCTCTGTGTGCGGCCTTTGCGACCCAGCAGCTGCTGCAGCGAAGTCCACGCCCAGCCAGGCTTCCATCCCATCCAGGCAGACCAGAGTGCTGGTGGGCAAGGAAACCACAGGAAAGGAACAGAAACGGGAAACAAAATATACCGCATCACATACAAAGGGGAAGAGGAAGAGGAGACCAAAGGAAATGCGGAAATGCTATGTTTCTCTTCCATCTCATCCCCGTACATATTTCTCCTGGTTGTAACATTGCCAGTAAAACCCAGTAAAAACGTTTTCGGGATGAAAAAAGAAAGGTGCCTCAAGCAACAGTAATGAAGCCGTGAATCAGATTGTGAGTGTGAGAGCAAGAGAGGGAGCTGCTCTTGTTGCTCTTGCAGCTGAAATACTCCAGGGATGCTTCTTGTGCACAGAAGAATCTTTAGCGCCTGCCTCCTCCTGACGCCTGTCTCTGCGCCGCTCACTTCTACTGTGTGTCGGCCGGAGAACGTCTCCCAGGCTGGGCATCCCTTCATCAGCCAAGATGCCCACCTGGCACTGCCCTGCAATGGCTCAGAGCAGCAGACCCAAGTTGCCTCCCCAGCAAGGTGGGAATGGAGAGATGGGTTTCATCCGGCACTCGGTCCCAGTCTTCCTCCCATTCAGAACCAACCAGAAGGAAGAAAGTTGTTGACATATTCAGGATGGACAGCAGGAAGGGCTCCGTCTCCAAGGCTAGACATCGCTCCCACTAGACGCAGTGTCAGCAAGCCACCTGGGTGCCTTGAAAGGCGGACAGGACCAAGGCAGGGAGGAGGAGGGGGCCCTCTGTGGCCACAGGCATGCTGGCTGTGGGCTCCCCATGGAAGGAGAGGCACCTGGACTCCTGAGAGCAGCCGCAGGGAGGGTCTCCCACCCCAGGGACGTCCTGCACAAGGCCCTTGGGTAGCCACAGGGGGCAACAGGAGGCTGGGCTCAAGAAGCCTTGGGCCTGACCCAGCAGAGCAGAGCCCCCTCTGGTGGGCCAGATCCAGCCGCTGCTGCCCGGGACTGTGGGAAAAGGGAGAGGGGGCTTGCCACTGCTTCACCCAGGAGCCCTTGCCCTTGCCGAGGTTCCTGTGCTGGTCTCCGAGGCTCCTTCCTGCATGCTTATGCTCGGTCAGGGGGGCAAGTGCCAGGGCCAAGGCTGTGGGGACACCGTGGGGCTGGGTGCCTGGGTGTCTCCTCCTTGTGGGGTGGGGGCAGGGAGGTGTTCAGACGTGGCAGAGGGAGTCGTGAGAGGCAGGGGGAGAGAAGCTGCCAGGGCTTCCTTCTAGGCTGCATTCTCCTCTGTGGTGGCTGCTGTGTAGATGATGCTGGACTTGATGGGCTGAGAATCCCGTCTGCAGGGGGGGAGTGGGAGGCAAGTAGAGGCACATTTAGGACAGAGTTCTTCCCCCTCTCCCCAGCAGCCAGGTCTCCACTGGACCCCTTTGTGCCTCAGACTGTCCTTCCATTGGGGCAGGTCAGAGACAGAGGCAGGAAAGGGAGCAGCTCTTGGGACCCTCCCTGGGAAGCGGGAGAGGGGAGAGAGGCTGAGAAAGAGCACCGGGGGAGGCACGGGGGCTCCCCCCCCCAGCCATGTGGGCTCTCATGGCACCCCTCCCAGAAGGGGGTCCTAGGCAGAAGCCCCAGATCCAGGAGCTGCCCTGAAGGAGCCTCTGCTGGCTTTGTGCCTTCAGCTCCAGGGGCTTGCAGTGCCCCTCCCCTCTTACCTGTGGTTCTGGGCCTGGTGCTTCCGGACATAGAGGAAGAAGGCCAGAGCAGTGATGCCAAAGAGAGCTGCAAATATGGCGGCCAACACGTCCCCTGTGGAAAGAGAGCAACCTGTTGGTTTGTCCTGGGGAAGGTAGCCAAGGGAGGCCTTGAGTGGTGTGAGGGGAGTGAGGGAGGTCCTGCCCTGTCTGGCTGGGGGGGGGGGAAGCCCTTCTGAGGCACCTTCCAGGCTTGCATGAGGGGAGCCG